GCTGGAATGCCAGAGACGGCCACGCTAGTGTAACCGGGCCGCCTCCCTCCCCTCCATGGGGGCTGCTCACCCTCCAGGCCTTCTGTCTGCATGAGTCCTCGACACCGGGCAGCTCCATCTGCTTCACCGGCTGGCTGACCGGGAGCCGACAAGCTCTGGCCCTTGCCCACCTGCCCCCGAGGTCCCCCACCTAGCTCCTCTGTGCCCTGCTGGCTGACCCAAGTCAGATGGGAGGAGAAATCGTCCCCTCCTGTGAACAAGAGGCCCCACGAAGGTCACAGCACAGAGGGGCATGCAGGTGGGAGGGACGGTGGCCATTATCCTTGGAAACAGTTGGCCACAGCATTCATTCGAGATAGAACCTTGCCGTGAAAATGTCTTCGATGTTTTTTTTAACCGTTCAGTGAATGCTAATGAAAAGAGAAAACATTATCCCTAATGAAGTTTCTCTTTTATTCTTTTATTACGCTGATGGGCATTTCGTATGGGAAAGTGACAAGACCACGTTTCACCAAAAGGGAAAACGAGAATCCCCTGAATCTTGTTCACTAGAGAAAACACGCAGGAGATGGGGGGACTCTGGAGAGCTCTGGACTAGCAGTTCATCCTGAGAGACCTTCAGCCAGAAATCCCTTTTCCGACGATTAAAGTTCTGAAAAGATTCGTTGCCCTCCCTGAATAATCATGGGAGGTCATGAATGGAACCTGAGATGTTATCGGTACAGAAAGGAACATGAATTTGAAATTTGAAATCTAATTTATTGGATGTCTGCTGGGTGTCTGGCAGTATGCTGGGCTTCTGCTCCCCAGGTGCTCACAGTAGAATGGGAGGCAGAGGAGCGGACAGATGATTTCAGCTCGGTGCGGCGGGAGCTAGAGCAGAGAGGTGCCGGGGGTCCCCGGGCACTGGGGCTGGGAAGGCGCAGGAGGGGAGACAGGAGGAGAGAGAGAACAAGTTTCTCCCATGCACGATGACCCCCACAGGATGCACTGAAACGCAAGCAGGGGTGCACCAGGGCCGGAAGCCAAAGCGAAAAAGCATAAACAGATACAGGCCGGTGGAAAAGGAATTTATAAAAGGACCTTGGATGTGATGTAGTATGTCTCAGCAGTTAGTGTTTCTTATTTCCAGATGGGTACTGGATCTTTTTTTTACAAGCTGTTTTGTAACACAAGTACTCAAACCCACATGAAACAATTTAGCTTAACAATAAATTATAAGGTGAATATCCTTGTAATTGCCTCCCCCAGGATAGGAGCGAGATCCTTGCCCTTCTCCCAGGCCAGCCTCCCAGCCCGCCCCAAAGCAGTACCCTGACTCCTAGGGGGGCCTCTACCACCATCCCAAGTGTCCTTCTCCTGCACCAGCCACTGTGTGTCTCTGAACACTACGCATACTTTGCCTTTTGTAACCTATACGTACCCGCTCTTTTCTCCCCTTGCAATGCATTTGCTTACACACTTCTCATGCTGAAACTGAATCAGGCAGTTGAAATATAAATACATATTTATTATTTCAAGAGCAAAATGCTGCACTAATTAAGGATGGTGAAAGCTATTAATTTTTATGAAGAAAACCGTAATTAAGAGGTTTAAAAGTTAAATAGGGACATAGATGGATGGTTAGTACAAATATTAAGACAGTGTATTTGCTTGATAATTTCAGGAAGACTATTACAGACCAATCCTATTAAACTTAAATAACAGTAAAAGGCAGGAAGTAGAGATTTAATTATATTATAATTCTAATCTCTGTAGAAATTGGAGGGTATTAGCGTTCCTCACACAGAACAGAATCTCTTTAAGAATTCTGTTTCCTTTTTGAGCGGTTTCATGCCTTTTAGGCCATGGATCCTTCAAGCAAAGGACCTGTTTGAGAATCGTTCACATCTTGGGAGAGTAAATTACAAGCAAAATGCCAACTTCGCCGCGCGCGCCCAGATTTCACAGTGGACAAAGTTCCCAGCACAGCATGAGTGAGCAAGTGTGTTTGAGGCAGACGTGGTGAAGGGGGGAAGCAAAAAAGGAAAGGGAGCCGGGATTACAGATCAGTAAGGCATTCGGCCAACAGCCTATCCTTATTCTTCCAACCTCAACACAGCAGACTCAACATGAACACCATAAGGTACCACCCCTCACAGTTTTGCGTCTTCGGAGGCTAAAATTTCAACAACACACTTGTAGAAATGACGGCTCTGGGAGTTGTAGATGAGGCTTTCGGGATATGTCTAAGCCACTCATCCTGAGTACGGGGTTTCTTCTGGAAATATACTTGCTAGAAACTTTGACCTGAATTATGTTCTACTGAGCACCGGAAGATCAGGGTAACATCCCAAGGGCTGGTTGACCAGGGGTGTCAATGAAGCAGCACTGGGTGCCCGAGAGGAAACCAGGGAGCAGCCTGGTGCCCACAGTGCTGAGCCCTTGTCATTAGTAGCCAGGAAAATGTCAGCGTTTCAATCTGGGAGACTCACATTTGCAATAATAAAGTGTAGTGATGTTTTGTTTCTTTTTTTTTTTAAGGTTTTTATTTATTTATTTGACAGACAGAGATCACAAGTAGGCAGAGAGGCAGGCAGAGGGACAGAGAGAGAGGGGGAAGCAGGCTCCCTGCTGAGCAGAGAGCCTGATGTGGGGCTCGATCCCAGGACCCTGAGACCATGACCTGAGCCAAAGGCAGAGGCTTTAACCCACTGAGCCATCCAGGTGCCCCTGATGTTTCGTTTCTGATGAATGATGTTTCTGTTCCTTCTTGGATGCCTGAAGTTTGTTCTAGGCCGATGATGGTTGACTTGGGCCCTGGTTATCCTCAGGACCCTGAGCTCTGCTTGTGAGGACATCAGCAGAGTGGTGAGGGCAAGAGGGAACACCAGGGTCCGGGGGAGCCAGGTTCAAGGCACAGGCTGGCAGATGCCATCTGGTGCCAGCATTTTGTAGCTGGGGAGACCTCACAGTGAGGCTCAGGGATGGCAAGTGGCCCCCCAAGATGACACAGCCAGGTAAAGGCTCAGACAATGTCAGGTCTCTGAACTCAGCTCTGGTGTCTTATGAGGGCCTTCTGGATGAGGGCCGCCACTCGGCGGCGCAGGCTCACGCTCCAGGCCTGGGGCCTGGGTAAGAGAACATGGCCACTTCCTGCAACTTCTCAGGTCCTGTTTCCAATCACCCTCCACCTGGCCCAGCATTTGTCGTGATTCATTATCTGTGAATCCATCTGCACTCACCTCCACACAACCGTCCAACCATAAGGACACCCTGAGCTGGCTTTCCCGAAATCCACTTTGATGCCTCAGAGACCTACGGGCCCTTCTGTTTCACAGGATTCACCCTCCTTAATGCAACTGTTGTTTCAAACCACACCCCTCCCCTGCTATTCCAACACAAGAGACACAAATTTAGAGTTTGGGTTTTATTTTATAAAAAAAAAATATTTTATTGCAATTTTTTTCAGCTAACAAATGTCCGAACATTTTGGAATTCATTCTCTTGGATTTCTTTTTAATCCATGTAGGGCTACCTCATCCATCTGTAACACAGGATTCTACTTTAGAATAACTTGAAGTGTTATTATTATAGCAAGTCATCCTTTGTGAATATTCACGTTGTTTATCATCCTTTCCCTCCTCCCAACATTGCTGTATTGAGCAGGGCTTTCAGAACAAAAATGACAACATTGGATCTGCCACTTGTTAAAACGTTACAAAGCTGGGAGGGGGGGCATTGAGCAGACAATGTAAGATAAGAAAATTGGAAACCTAGAAACCCACTAAGTATATCAGGGACTTTCTAGATCATAAAACTGGCGTTTTAGACACAGGGACGAAGAATGGGTGTTTCAACAAACGATGGAAAAACACCCAGGCCACTCATTCCGGGAAAACATGAAGGCAACTCTCCCTCTCGCATGCGAACATTCCAAACCCAACACAATTTTACACAAAAAGCTTGAAACTGAAAAAGAACTAGAAAAATATCAATTAGGACCAATATAGTTTTGGAGGGGGAAAGCCCTTGTAAATTGGACACCCAAAGTAGCGCCAGTAAATCTCTGTGTGTGGAGAAGGCTACATTGTATGGGTCTGTCTACCATCCTCAGATACAAAACCCAAAGACAAACTACAAACTAGAGGGAAAAACCTGCACCGATCATGAAAGACCACATGTAAACAGTTAAAAAAAAAAATCGGGAAAAGATGAACACCCTGCAAAACAAAGTCCTTAACGGGCTAAGCCCAGTCAAGAAATACGAATGCCCAGGAAATACGAAAATGCGTGCAAAATTGATAGTTATCAAATAATGCAAATTAAAACAATTTAATGCCTTTTTTTTTTTTTTTTTTTGGCATGTCAGAAAGGCACATATTTTAAGAAACCATAATCCTCTGGGTAGGACCAGACATAGCTCCAAAGCCCCTGGGCCGTGGCCAGGAGAGGTAGGAGCTGTAAGTTCTTTCTGGAGGGAGGGCAGCAGCATGACTCTGATTTTAAGCCCCGAAGGGTGCAGGCCTTTGATAATTTCCCCTTTTTCCCTTTGTTGAGCGGTTCTTCCCAGCATTTCTGTAGTGCATGTGGTTTCTGGACGTCCCTCCATAGGCCCCACCAGGCAGGACATAGAAAGTAGCCAGTGGGCGGAACGCACACCATGAGACTGGGGTTGTGGGGGGGCTCCTGTGAGCTCAGCACAACTCTCCTCTTGCACTCCCCTTACCATGCTCATTGCTCGGAGCGCCCAGAATCAGGCCCTGCACAGCTCTCCTGAGCCTTCCCTCTCTGGGGTCTCAGCCAGGGTAGCCCCTTGCCTCTCTCCACACAAGGGCTGTGTCCGCACCTGCCAGGGCCAGGCCACAGACCCAAGACTTCCATGGAACTGGACATGTTGGTGTCAGAACAGGCTCCGACCCAGACACGACATCTCAGACTGGGCTTAGCTCAAAGTCACTCAGATAATAAATCAGTGGAAAGGGAAAGAAGACAGAGGTGAAAGCAAGGAAATCTATTAAAAACAAAAACAAAAAACATAAAACCCCCCAAAAACAAAAAACAAAAAATCAGGGGCAAATAGAATGGGTATACAGGAAGCTCTAATACTTTGGACCCTAAAAGTAAGTTAACATGAAAGAAACATGTGCACGTGTCTGTGTCCGCCTGTCTGTGAGAGAGAAAGGGAGGCAGTGGGGAGAGGAAAATCGATTGGCTGAAGGTCAAGTTAGAAGAGAGGAGGCCGACTCATTTCCCCACCTCTATCTGCTCCAACTCAGAAGCCCCAATGCAGCTTTGCAGAATGGAGTGCGGATGAGGTGAGGGACCAGTGGAAGGGGAGACAGAACTTCCACTCAGTCCCCCAGGAGCTCGAAGGTGTCAGCACACCTCCCCAGGCCTGCCGACATCCCAGGGCGGTAGTGATAGGTAGTCCTGCTGCTTGAGGGCCTTGAAGTGCCGGATGGCTGGCATCTGGGGAATGGCCTGGCCCAGGGCCTTCTTGGCCTGGGACACCTGGTCGGGGTCCCCGATCTCAGGATAGGGTCCTGGGGAAGAGGGCTTTGTCTGGGGTGAGAGAAGACCAGAGCCCAGGCCAGGGAGGAAGCAGTAGTCACCCACCTGCTGTAGGACCAGGAGCCCCTCGGGGTATGGGGAGGGGGGCACCCCCTCTGCTCTGGGCTCCCCTGGGCTTAGGGTGGGGCTGCTGGCTGGAGGAAGGGCAGGACTGCCCAGAGGGGACTTAGGAGACTGGCCTGGGGTTGGAGGGACATCCACATAGCCCTCAACTTCTGGCTTCACGGGGCCTGGGACTGCATGGGACCCACCAGCCACTCCAGGACGGAGGCTGTGGCTCTGGTCTGTGGGCAGGTGCAGTAGGTGAACTGTGGAGGCAGATGGCAGCCCCGTGGGCAAGGGGAGTGCTAGGTCTGTAGTGGTGACATAGCCAGAGGCCAGAAGACCATCCTCATGGGCCCCAGAGCCAGTGGGCAGAGCTGCAAGTGTCCCATCCTTCGGGTTGGGGCTGTTCTTTGGGTCTTGACCACCTACCATCAACCCAGGCGCTGAAGGGGTGGGGCATGCCCTTGACTCCAGGGAGGGGCTCCCCTCCTTGCCCGGGTCAGGGCTCCCCTCCCGATCCATGGCCTGGCCCTGGGCCATCACCTGGGCGAGCGGGACCAGCTGCACCTGCCCCCCTGCGGGCAGACACAGGTACTCCAGGGACCCCGGAGGCTGCGGCTTCTGGCTCAGGCCTGCCTGTGGGGGTGCCGGCTGGCCCAGCACATCAGGCAGGGAGTGGCTGTGGGGGAGCCCCAGGTAGGGGCCATTGAAGTCGTAGCCGGAAGCCTGGCTCTCCGACCTGCCTGCGGGGGCCGATGGGTCTAGCTGGGGGCCAGGGGCCTCCTCCGAGTGCGGGTCCAAGGAGGCTGGAGTCGTGTCAGGCTCTGATGGTGATTCACAGGCATCTTTTGGGTCCTCCGTGGTGAGAGGCGACACCTCGCTGTGTCTGTAGTCTACAGGGAACGCGCTGCGGGGAGAACAGGCGCAGAGATATTGAGGTCACCCGGGGCTGCCACTTCGGCTCATGCTAGGGCTGGAGTGGGGTGGAGGGAGGCCTGACCTCACCCAGGGCTCAGGGAGGGCACAGGGCAGGGCAAGGTTGGGGAGCAAGCCAAGAGAGGGCACTGCACCGGCCTTCGGTGCCCCGCTGGCTTCACCTGCCAGCTTCCATGCTCTGGTTCAAAGTCTTCTGCCAGGTGTGGCTCCTCTCACCCTGACTCCTTCATCCATCCAGCTTCAGGGGACCAGGTGGATGCCCAGCCCACGCATGCCTAGCCATGCCCTCGTCCCTTCAGTCCCTCCCCCTGCCACCATGTCATCAGCACCCCCATGCGGACTTTCCCTGGGCAACAGGGCAGGGAGAGGTCACCTGCTCCAGTCTTCTACCTCGGGTCAAGTCCAAGGTAGGGCCCTCCCTTGCCCGATATTTGGGAAGTTCCTCCTGATACCATCTGGTATCCTCTGGCTTTAGAGAAACCAACCTCCCTGGTTCTCTTCATCCCGAGCCCCAGGCTGGAGGCTGCCTCCTCTGAGCCTCCAGAGTGCACAATGGGGCCACCCTCCTACCTCCCAGGGATCCCAAGCCCAGACACTCACCTGTCCAGCCCAAGGATGAAGCTGCCCTGCGGCTCCTTATGCGGGGGGCTCCTGCTGATGAGCCCCGATATACTGCCTGGGAGCTGGAGGCCGGCACTCCCGTTCTGGGAAGGAAAAGGACATTTGTGCTGTGGGTGTGTGAGCTCTCGAGAAGCTGGAGGAAGGAGGGGAGGACTCACAGGGGATACAGGGAGCCCCCAGACACGGAAGGGTCTCAGCAAGTCCAGGGCCAGCCCCGCCTGGCCTCCTGACACCAGGAAGGAGAGGCCCAGAGAGGGGCTGGGACTTGCTGTGGGTCCTTGGGCACCAGAGGATGGGGACTGTCTTCTCGAAAGGCCACAGATCTGAGTGTCGCTGCCTCCACACCCATGCCCTAGTTTCTTCCCCACTAGACATGACCTTCCTCCACAGGTAAGCTGGCCATGCCTGACCAAAGGGCCCCGTGACCCACATGCCGACACTCGCCTTATGACCATCTCAGCATCTGGGATGTGAGCCCAGGCTCACGGCCCGCCCCTTACAGTCCCCTTTGCGAAGGGGTCCTGTCCACCCACTGCGGGCCTCCCCCACCTGTCGCCACCCTGGATTCTCCAAAACTCAGCTCCGCTGTCCGTCCTTGGGGAAAACATTCTGCCTCCTGTCATCCCTCCGGCCCCTGCAGAACCAGGCCTCTCGCTGAGCTCCCTGACTCCCGGCAGGCCCCCGTTCCACTCTACCCTTGCTCCACGGGAGCCCAGCAGGCAGGGCCAGTCCCGCGCCTCTGCAAGTGCCCAGAGGAGGGCAGGGCTGAACCTGCTGGTGTTGGCCGCCCCTGAGAGCTTCCTGCACCTTCCTGGGCCACCTATGTTTCACGCTCAAAGCCACAGAAAGGTGGGGGAGACATAGGGATGGGGAGGTTGGCGCAGGAGAGAGGAGCCCCAACCACCCTAGCCGCCTTTGCAGCCAGATCCTACCTGGAACAGGTGGCTCTTGCTGGGGTTGGGGATTTTCTCCTCCCACTTCTGGTTCAGCCTAGAAAGATACCAGAGGGGTAACAGTGGCCAGGGACCTCAGGGAAGCTGCCCCACGCTCCTGTGCAGAGAGGAAACTGAGACCCAGAGGAGAAGGTGAGATTTATCCAAGGTTTCCCCAAGAGGGAGGGGCAGAACAGGGACTAGAGCAAGCCAGCTGTGGGGTCCCGAGCACCCCCCACCCGTCATGGAGTCCCCTTACCTGTACCCATACATGCCACAGCAGCGCAGGGCAGGGAGCAGTGCCCCAGTGGTGAAGACCAGGATGAGAACCAGGACCCACATGGGTAGCACTGAGGGTGCCAGGAAGGGAAAAAGGAGCATTAGCATCTGGGGAGGACAGAGCTGGAGGCTTAGGAGGGGGGAGGAGGTAAGGGGAGGTGAGGCCGGGCAGAGTGTCCAGACCCTGCTCTGTGCAGCCGCAGTGCTCCCGAAGCTCATTTCCTAGGGGTGCAGATGGGAGGGAGGCCCAGACACAGGCTAAGAAGGACAAGGAATCAGTCCGCCCCCCCGCCCCCCGCAACTCAAGGTTCAAGTGCTGGGAAGTGATGTGGAAATGCTAGAGTCCTGGGGATCAGAGCCAAAGGCCAAGAAAGAATTCTTGCGATGTCTTTGATGCAAAAAGGTGTTTTTATTACAGCACGGGGACAGGACCCGTGGGAGGAAGGGCTGCCCAGGGACTGTGAGCAGTGACTGATTAAATACTTTGGAACTGGGGGAGGTAAAGACGGCAGGTTATAAGAAAATTTAATTTTGTCTATTTCTTTTGCCTTTGTTCCCCATATCAGGAAGGACAAAGAGGGTTAGATTCTTTCCAGTAGCAGGAGGGGGCGGGGCAATGACTACATCTCATGGCAATCACAGTGGACTTCATGTAGGAGGTAGCACATAAGCTTCAACTTCAAGTAACAGGGAGGTTTGGAGAGGCAGAGATGGGAAAAAACTGGTGGAGGAACTAGGAGGTGTAAAGGCCTATCGGGAGCCCCAGTGTCAAGCCCTTCACAGGCTGGGCCCCTCCAGGACTCCCTCGGTCTCTTCTCTTAGGCCCGGTGTCCAGTCCTCTTTTCCACTTGATTGTAACCCTCTTCCTGAGACTCCTCCCCTGTGAGGATGACTGCGGCTTGGGTCCTTGCAGCTAATACCGCCTCCATCCTCCTGGACCTAGTCTTGTACCTGCCTCCTGGTGGCCAGAATGGTGAACGGTGAGGGACAAGGGAAGCAGCAAGTACAGGGAAATGGGGAAGATTAAGAAATTTGGGGCACCTGGGTGACTCAGTCGGTTAAATGTCTGACTCTTGATCTTGGCTCAGGTCTCTTTCTCACAGTTGTGAGTTTAAGCCCTGTGTTGAACTCCCCTGGATGTGAAGCCTACTTAAAAAAAAAATCAGGAAGAAATCAGACCAAACCCTTCCAGTGCCGGGCCTCAGTCCATAGCTTGTGATGTTTGCTGCCGTGGTAACCAACTGGAAATTCGGGCTCAGTGGTCACTAGGTGAGGGCTGCCACAAAGCCTAATGAAGCCACGGGCCATATTAATAGAGGGCTAAGGTCCAGTCTGAGGGAGGAGCAATGGTTAGGACTGCTCTTGGCTGCTCTCAGGACCTCACCTGCAGTCTGTGTTACACACCAGGGGTCACTTTGCATGACTAGTGACACACAGAAGAGAGGATACTCAGGTGGGGTGGGGTCACACTTCTGTGTCCACACCATCCTTGTCCTCTGCCCAGCTGGGCTGTACCCAGAAGGGAGGGTGGAGGCCGGGAGACATACCCCATTCAGTGTCCCAGAAGAGCTCCTCACTCCACTCACTCCAGATGCCGTCATAGCCGCCGGGGGTGGGCTTGACCCTCACTCTTGCCTGGTACCTGGTGGAGGGCTCCAGTGGCGGCAGCGACATGCTGTGGGTGTTCTGGAGGGTTTCTGTCTTGCTCTCCTGAGGGCACAGGTGAGTGAGCAGGTGTGCTGAGACCGAGGCAACTTGCTGGTGTGTGGCGGCACAGCCCCAATCCCCTCCCACCTCAGGGCCCCAGTTTTTCTGCCTCATCAGTCCCCAGCTGCAGCTGCATCCCCAGGTCTGGGTAAGTCCCCCCGGCCCCCACGGAGGGCCCTACCCCAGGGCTCACAGAGGTCAGCACCCTGGGTGGGACTGGGGATTGCCCTCCCTGTGACCTAGGACAACACCGAGGCCCGGAAATCCTGAGGACACATCATGTCCCAGTCTTACTCTGAGACAACCCCCCAACCTCCCAGCTCCTCAGGGACAGCCTGGACCCCAATTATGGCCTTCCCAGGAATGTTGTGCAGCATGACTGGACTCTGGGGGCCCCACTCCTAGCTCCCCCACTGACCACACCGATCCTGGCTTCAGTTTCCCTATTTCCGGGCTGAAGGTTCTGTGGTTGGCTCCAAAGTTTCTGACTTGGGCCACGGGGAGCCCCAGGTTCTGCACACAGACCCTAAGACTGCCTAAGGATGTGGGCCGGAGACAGAACCTTGGCCTGGGGACCTGCCTGCTTTATCAGGAGCAGCTGGGCTCGGAGCGGCCGCACAGTTGCATTCCAGAGAAGACTTCTCTGAAGAGTCGCCTGGTAACTTTGGAAAACCTGACATCCAGCTCGTCTCTCTGCCCTCCAAGCCCTGATGTCTGCATCCCTTTCACAGTTCAGGGTCTTATAGTTCATTCTGGCCATGTCATATCACCTCTGTGAGCCTTAGACCTTCACCAAGGAAGGAGACAGTGACCAGCCAACAGCAAAGGGTCATGACCGCTGAGTCTCAGTGGCTTCCTCTGATGGGTCCCCTGCTGGGAGCCAGGCACCTGGCAGGTGGGGGCTCTCGTGTGTGTTTCCTCACCCCGCCCCTCCCTCCACCCCAGTATAGGCCCCTTCCCAGGCATGAGGTCCTCACCTCCCTTGAGGCTGTAGCCTTCTTGTACTGGACCTGGAAGGTGTGACCTATGTGCTTGTAGAACATCTCCTGTGCCGTCCAGTGCAGGGTGTAGCCATCTCTGCTTTTGGTCACATTGAGTGTCGGCTGAGCCATCTGGACTGGAGGGAGGGAAACCTTTAGGGAACATTGTTCCTAACATGCCTCCGATGGAACACTCTCTTCATTCCATGTTAGTCACAGGTGCTCTCTCCAGCGGGGTCCAGCCCATCTCAGGGTCCTTGGACCCCCCCACTTCCCCATACTGTCCACTTGGACCTGAGCAGCCCTTCTCTGGGCAGATGCTGAGATACACTTGTCTTTCGGTGAGGTCACCCAAAGCATGGGTTACTCCTCGCGTTTAAGTAAAAAAATAAAAACACCAACAATTGGTTCCCTGCCACATCATTAAGTATGTTGTAGGCATTGTCACACAGGCTCTGTCTGCAGGAATCCTTGCACTTGATTCTAACAGATCTGCTATGTGGTGGGTCCTGTTCATTTGTCACAATTCACAGATGGAAAAACTGAGCCCCAGAACGATTAGGTCACCCACCAAGGACAGGCAGCTAACAAGTGGTGGAGAAAAAGACGGCAGAACCCTAGGGTGACTGGTGGATTCCAACCAGGTGACAGAGACAGAGGGGCTATGTGGCCTCCTGCACACATTCCAGACTGGGTGGAAGGGACTGGGGTCCCGGGATGCCATGCAGGAGGCTCCTTTGCATGAGGTCTTTGCTACTTTAGAAGAAGAGGGGATAGGATTCTGCAAGGAATTACAATTTCTTTGCATGTAGTCTAGCCCCTGATTGAAGAAGTCATTCCTAAATCAGTTATCTTGAAGACAGAAAATATCCATTGGCAGAGGACTCTGGGAACCCGAGAGAGAAAAATCCAATCAGGGAAGGAAAGGGAAAGTTCAGTGGGAGGACCAGGGGTGTGTGTGGTTGGCAGGAGGGGCTGCAGAGCAGCCCAACAGGAAAGCAGAGCTAAAGGAAAGGGGGAAATGGGTTTTAAAGATCTGTTTGTGGGGACTATCCGTTGAAGTTCCTTCATACTATTGGCCATTGTCGTTGTCAGATTGTCGCATCTTGACTGCTTCAAGAAGAGATTTGAATCACTTTGGCTCCCTTTGGTCACTGGGCTGCGTTTTACTGACAGAGACAGACATGGAGAGTGGGCCATCAGGAGTCCTGAGTGGATGTGGGGGACACAGGTGACAGGACCACTGCAGGAGCACTTGCGCCAAAGGCTGGAGGGCAGACTCACTGTTTTCCGAGCTTTTTATAAACTTCTCCTCCTCCTTTGGCCGAATGGAGATGGTGTACCGGCTGTCCTTCCTGGGGTCGGGCACGGCAATCTGGCATCGGTACTGGACGTAGAGGCCAGGGAGCTCCTCCTTCAGTACTGGGGAGCACTCTTCTTCCCTGAGGATCACGGTGGAGGTGAGAGCAGAAGGAGGCAGGGGACCACGAGAGGGGTGTGGCTTCCTCTGGGGCCCCCAGAGTCAGGGGAGGCCTGGAGAGGGCAAGGTGGTGAAGAGGGGAGGGAGGAAGGGAACACTCACCCTGCGTTGGGGCTGGCCTTGTAGAAGAGGGCGAAGGAGACTGAGTTGGCCACCTCGGACCTCACTTCCCAGGAGCAGCTGAGCACGGCGGCCCCATCGAAGAAGCACTGGAGGTTCTGGGGCTGGGCCTTGTCCCCTGGGAGGGGAGACAGTCCCTCATTCATCCCCTCCTGCATTCATTCCTTTACTCTTGGGGGGCCTACCAGGAACCTCGTGTCAGAGAGATCATGGGCTTCGTCCCCAGGAAAACTCAAGCTTCAACACAGCCGGGACCTGCCAGCTCAGTGAGTGAATTCCATGACCCTTCACACCCCCCCAGGCAAAATGGGGACAGCATCTTTCTTCAGGGCTCAGGGCCTCGACACAGTGATGCTGGTTGGTCCCCAGGGAGCACAGCCCTCAGGAAGACAGAGCCACTCATAAGGCTGCTGTCGTTGTCACCTAAGTGCTCCTAGCTGGAAGGTGTGCCGAGCTCGGAGCCCAGATGGAGTCGGCCCAGCGAAGGGATTCTGAACACGACACAGGAGACTGGTGGAATCCTGCAGCAGATTCCCAGGAGCTGGATGAGCCGCCCTCCCCGCAGAAGGGTGCTGCCCCAACTTTGACCATGCTACCTGTCTGCGAGTGCCAGCGGACCTCCGGGCTCCACTGGCTGGGCCGTCCCGAGAGCCCTGAGCTGGGGGCCAGATGGGTGCGCACTCGGGCCACGTAGGTGCTGCTGGGAATGAGGTGTTCTGACTCCAGGACGGCCTGGGAGGAGCTCAAGTAGAGGGTGGAGGCCTCCTGTGGGGAGAGAGCGGTTAGTGGAGCAGGTTCAGGCTGGATCTGGTCCCTTGGCTGTGGGGCGGAGCTGGCCGTGGTCCTAACCTCCCAGGAGTCCTGAAGCCGCTTGTAGACCACCTCATACTCCAGGTTGGACAGCCAGTGGCTCTGGGAATCCAGAAGGGCCACTGTCCAGGTCAGCAGGAAGCGCTCCCCGGTAGTATTGATCAGGAGGTCCTTGGGTGCCGGGGCCTGCACTGGAGGAAGGAGGAGGCAAGGGCCCTTAAGGGGCTGGGTGATGGTAGAGGGGCATTTTCTGTGTGGTGGGCAGATGGGCTCCAGGCCAAGTGTTGTCCTTACCAGCTGAGTGGCCTTGGACAAGACCCTTTTCCTCTGTGGACCTCAGGCCCTTCACCTGCAAAATTGTCTGGGTTCACTGTGAACATGAACAAAAGCTGTGCGCATATCACATAAGCTCCATGAAGCGCTGGCAATAATCTCCCAAAGGAACCACCTGTCCCCACCTGTCCCCACCTGTCCCCACCTGTCCCCACAGCTCACTGTGCAGCCTGTGTCGCCCCCTTCCCAGCAGAGGGCGCTGTGACTCATGTTACTCCCCCTTCCTCTCACCGTCCTCCTTCCCTTTCCACCTTCCGAGGGTCCTGCACCACTCAGAGCCCAGCATAAATGTCTCCTCCTCTAGTACGTTCCTGGGCCCCCCTCCCCTGGGCAGAATCCCCCAATCCTTTTCCTGTCCTACCATAGCCCATCATATTGTCCTTACAACCCTGGTGCATTCATGCGTTTCCGTGTCTGCCCCTGCAGTCAGGAGCTCGTGGGTGTAGGGTTTGGACTTTGACGCCCTTCTCTGTCCCCATGGCCTGAGATTAGTGGTTCAGGGAATTTGGGGACAAACTGAGTGAACGTTGAATGAATACATGAACAGGCAACCTTCAGAGAATTTTCAAGGAACCATTCTGTCAGCCAACAGCAAACATCTGTCTGCTGGGCGAGCATATTCATTCAAGAATGGCCTGGCTCCCTCCTTCGTGAAGCTTCTGGGTCTGAATGCTGAGGGGTGACTTTCAAACACAAAAAATTCAATGACTCCAAACAAGATGTAAATGTTCTGTGCTGGACGTTGAACATGGCAGCGCTGGAGCATCTAGAGAAATCTTAAGGCCGGAATGGCAGATACAGGGCACCCCCTCTTTAGTCCCTCCACCCCAACCCTCCATCAGGCTCATCAGTCCCTGCCCGCCTAGCCCCTAAGCCGGTCAGAGAGTGGGAATCCCTTTCAGTGTGGAGCTCTAGAAGCTCCTAAAAAAAAACTGGACCAACCAGGAACTCAAGGAAAAACCTATTCACCCGACGTGAGAGATTTTACACTGCTAGCTCATTTCTCAGGTGGAGACCTGAGAGAGGAAGTGAAATGTCCCAGACTTCCATGTGTGGGGGTCTCAGAGCGGTCAGATGCACCCCTGTCCCCTTGCCCAGCACCGACCAGCCTCCCTGATTCATTGCCAAAATGGTTCGGGCTAGAACTGACCTCCCTGCTGAACGTGCACTCCAGGAGGCAAACACCACACTCCCTCCCCTATTTCTAAGTTGACACCTTCCCTGTGATGAGGCCACCAGCTTCACGGGGCAGGGACGCTGACTGGCTTGTTCACTGATTTGCTGGTGCATGTGGGCACTCAGCGAGAGAACAGATTAGTGGATGAAGTGTGTGTACACCCTCTCTGTGAATCGTATGCCCCCCTGCTCCCATCCCCTCGTTGTGTCCCAGTTGAATCTTCATCCTTTCTCCCTGGAATGAGCGTCTTAGTTTGCATTCTGGGCCCCAGCCTCCTGCCACCTCCCATCATCCCCTGCCATCTATCCTGTCACCCATGCAGCATCATGTCATGTCCCTTCGATGGCTCTCCATCGCCTAGATGTTGGCCTCTAAGTCCCTTTGCAGGGCACAGAAGCATCTCCAGGTCAGGCTCCTACCTCCACTGCCCCTCTCCTTCTTCCCTCACTATCCAGCCCTTTGGACACTGATGCTCCTGGGATACAATGATTGATGGTTTTCCCACACTGCCTTGCCCTCCCGTCTCCCAGCCTTGGTGCACGCTGTTTCCTCTTCCTGTTCTGTCCTCCCACTCACCCTTCAGATCTCCCTGCAAAACTCTTTCCTCTGGGAAGCCTGTCCTGACCCCCAGAGGCTCCTCGCCCACTGCCCCTCAGCACATGGCATCCATCTGTGTTTCAATTTCCACTGCTTCCTGCCTCTCTGCAGGCTCTCAGCTCCACCAAGATGGAGCCTTTTCTCATCCATCAAACACGTTTTGAGACGCTGTTTGACATGAATTCACCATGGCCTAACCCATCTCCTCTTTGTGCAACAGCTTTGCGCTGCTGTGAGGAAAACAGGCAGGAAGCAGAGGCCGGAGCCCCGTCTCCATCTGACATTTGCAGGTGCAACAGGCTGCCCGGTGTTTGGGACCCAGGACGCTATGTCAGACACATGCATCCAAGTGGCCTTGGGCAAGTTCCTCTTTTCTCAGTTCCATTTCATTATCAGAGAAATGGGGGAAAAAAGAAAAGTAGGGCATGACACCATGCATTACTGTAATGATTAAATAATATTGGGCAGTGTTTCCTAAAAGCCAGCCATCCGTAGGATTCTTACCAAGTGAATTCCAAAGACCATCTCTATTTTAGGCTCATCCTGAGCATAGATATAATTGAATTAACGAGATCGAAGTGCTGCTTATATTTCTGTGTAACAGACAGTCAAACGAAGCTTAACTATTTAAATGAAATGATCACAGACATCCACCCAAGAGCACTGATTTCTGGCACCGCTGTGGACACCTGGTGCCCTCTCTCACCTGTCACTGTCACCATGGCTCAGGAGTGGCACTTTAGAAAAGTTATATGACCTCTCTGGGCTTTAATCACCTCATCTAAAACTGGGTTATTGCAGGCATTGGATGAGACTAGATGGGGATGAGTGCTTTCAAGTGATAAGGTTTCTACCTGAATAGGAAGGATTGTTTTGGAAGGGAAGCCTTCACTGCTGCAGGTGGTGGGGCAGCTCGGGCCAAGGGAGGTGCCACTGGCCAGGGGTTCCTCACATTGTCGCTCCAATGCCACCATCATAGGAAGACCATAGCCTCTTCTCCTCAGAGATCAAACCCACCCCCAAGCCAGTATCTCCATCCCTTGAAGATTCTCATCCCCTGGCCCTTCTGCGGGCTGACCACCCATGGAGGGGCCACCCTCATCTGGGGACCCCAGGCCTTACCATGCTGGGTCAGAGTGATGGTGAGCTGGGTGCCCAGGGGCCGGTCTGGTCGGAATGAGAAGTAGTCTCTGTCAGCAATAACGAAAAACTCATATGGAATGACACATCTTCTGGACACACAGGCGGGACAGGGGTGGTCTATCAAGGCCGTCTCGTTACTGAGATCACAGGACACTGGCTTTGGAGGGTCCCTGCCAGGAGACAATGTGGTTAGCCCACAGCATGGGAGAGTCACTCACTCAACAAATGTCACCAAGCAGTCACGGTGTTCGAGGCTCTGTCCAGGGCCAGGGGGACACATGAGAAATGACTTAATAAAATATGTCATGTGTCAAATGGAGCAAACTTCACATAGACAAATAGAGCAGGTCAGGGAGATAAGGAAGTCAGAAGGGCGGGGGTGGGGGTGTGATTTCAAACAGAGGAGACAGGGAAAGCCTCGTAGAAAAGGTGACTTTGGGGCAGAAACTTGAAGGAAGTGATGGAGGGAGCCATGCACATCCTGGGGAAAGGGGAGTTCAGATAAAGGGAATAGCAAGTGCAAAAGCCCTGGGGCAGGCACAGGCTGGGAGCATTGCATGACTAGGCAGTTACCCAGTGCACATGGAGTGCAGTCCTGGAGGGTGGGAGAGCTATGAGTAGCTATGAGCAACGGAGTGACATAGCGTGATATATATTTTGAAAGGCTTCCTCTAGGATAGAGGATGGTGGATAGATTAGGTTTGGGGGAGGGTGGTCGTCTTGGAAACAGAGACCAGGTAGGAGGCTTCTAGAATATCCAAGTGATAGGAAGTGGTTCATACCAGACTGGAGATGTTAGCCTTGGCCAGATCCACATTCTATTTAAAGATGAAGTCAACGGCATTTGCTGGTGGATTAGAGGCACGGGTGGGGAAGGAAAGGTGGTGTTAAGGGCCTACTTAGCCAGAGGGAGCCATTTTGTTGTTTATGCAGTAAACTTAGATTGACCCTGCCCCTCCCAGAGGAACTTACTTAAAAGCAAGTCGGGGAAACCAATCCCAGGTAGCAAAGCCCAGATATAAGGGTGGGTCAGGTCAGGTGGAGACATCCAATCAGTGGGGCATGCATACTGTCTCCCTAGCTACCAAGGAGAGTGGGCCCACCTTTCGGGCGCCAGTTCTGACCAAGGTGATAGGCCAGTTCAAATATCTACTAGGGTAAATTGAAATTCAATTGGCCACCCGTGTGGGACCTACCATGACTGTGCAGTTTTCTCTGTGTGTTGCGATCTCATTGGCCACCTGTGTGTGGCCAGGCTCATCCACATGGCCTTTGCTCTATAAAAGTTAGTCGGTAAGGCAGGGAGGAGTAGCCTCTTTGTAAGAGGCGGGGAGGAGTAGCCTCTTTGTAAGAGGCGCCCCTGACCGGTTGGTTTGATTCTCGATGCTTGGTGCGAAATAAAGCTTTGCTTGACCTTCGCTTTGTATCAGTCTCACTCCTTTGATCACGGACCTAACAGTGGTAAAGGAGGTGAAGGAACATACCTCCCAGCTTTTGGGTTGGAGCCTCTTGGAGCCCCTGCTTAGTGACGCGGGATATGGGGATGAGCCAGGAGCCCTGTTGGGGCAGGGCAGGAATTTGGTGTAGAGCACTGGGGGTGGAAGACGCCTTTCCCTAAGGACCTGTGGGGAGACAGGTGCACCTGCGGGCCTGGCTTTGGGGGCAGGTGGGGCCGGTGAGAGTGTGAAAGTCACCAGGGCTCAGCCTCAGGCTAGGCTGGCAGGCTAGGCTAGGCTCTGCCCCTGGATCACGATATACCAGCGGGGAGAGCTAAGGATGAACCCCGGGCATCTCACCCTTTGAGTTGGAGACAGAAGAAGGGAGCAAACAGGGAGACAGAAAAGGTAAGCCAGGGGAGACACAAGGAGAGGGGGGAGTGTGGTGGCTGGAAGCTGGGAGATGGAGGTGTTGTGGGGGCATGCAGGGTCCGTCTATGCCAGGTGCTGCTTTCAGTCAAGGAGGGAGGACGGTCAAGAAGGGAGGACATGGAGATTTAGCAGCAGGGAGGGCCTTGGGGCCTTGGCAGGAGCAGTCTGGGTGGCCTGATGGGGGCAGCAGAAGCCCAGGGGAGTGGGTTCAGAATGACTGGAAAGACCCGGGATGCTGTGGGTCTAGACAGCTCTTTGGAGGAGGGTGGCCTCAAAGGGAGGCAGAGAATGGCCCCTGCTGGAGAAGATGGGGGTCTGGAGGCCCCTCCAGAGCGTCAGCCCTTGTTGGCAGGTGTAAGTGGGGGCCAGGATACATTTGCTCAGGGATCAAGAATGACCCCTGGAGAGGGCCTGTCGATGGCACAGGAAGAGCGGGGACTGGGGTGGCTGTGGTGTTCTCAAGCAGCAAGAGCAATGGGAAGCCCGGGTGCAGCTGTAGACAGGTCTGGGGTGGGAACTCGCTGCAGGGAGCACCCAGGGAGGTGGCAGAGGGGGTGGGCGGGCGGTGTGAGCACAGAGGGGGCTGGGAGCCCCTCTTCTGGGAGCACGAGTCTCCACGCAGGAGGAAGTGGGCCACAGCAAAGTGGGGAGGTGGAGGTGGGCGAGGAGGATGGAGACGGGAAAGTGGGCTCCCAGGAGCGTGGGAGAGAGAGCTGGGGGGTGCTGTTGTGGGTGTGAGGAGCTACTCCTCCCCAGGGCTGGCCTCCACGGGGTCTCCCTGCACCTGAGATGCTAGCCATTTAATTATTTCTATTACGGTGAGTTAGACTGTCCCCAGACCCCAAGACAGTGTGAGGAATCTTCCCAAATGGCATATACCGCAGAGATCACGTGAAGGAGAAGGAGAAAACCCACACTCTGGAGGCAGCAGGGCCTTGGAGAGACATGGAGGCCAGTCCCCCATGCACCGGACACAGGGCACTGGTCCCCACTCTGCCGCTCAGCCGTCCTGTGGCTGGGAGAGGGACGTCCTCTCCGCAGCCTCAGGTTGTGTGTCTGTGAACTGGGGCATCTACCCTTTGCCCTGTCCTCCTCACAGGGAGGACCATCTGACATCGGCTTTTGCAGGGTAAGTCCGTTCAATTGTGATGATATAAGATTATCGCTATCCCTTCATCAACAGCGATGTTAATGCGTAAGCCTCTACTCCAAACCCTGATATCGGACACCCGCACCTGGGCCCAGAAGGCTGCCTAATGGAGCAGGAGCTCCCGGGCCCAGGTCAGGGCCGGGGCTGGGGCCTCCCCATCCTTGACCTCTGTGTGGCCTCCCCCACCCCTGGCACAGCCCCACAGAGCCGCATCCCTCCCTGCACTCTGTCCCTGGGCTCTGGTGTCACTCACTCATTCAGCCTCCGGTAGAGAGTCAGGTTGATGAGCCCCTGGGCGTCCTGAGTGTTTGCCCACCTGCAGGTGATGAGGCTCTTGTAGTCATTGTAGCAGCTCAGGGTCTGCAGTGGGACAGTCTCTGCCCAGGGAGAGGCACAAAGGGAGTCACATCTCTCCCCTCCTGATGTCCCTTGTCACCTGCCCTCTTAGCGCCTTGGGGGTGCCCAGAGCTGGGGAGAGGTTTCTCAGAGTACTCCAGGGGCTCCCGGCTGCTAGGCACAGCTCCCTGGGGGCCCCAAGGGGGCCAGAGGTTCTGTGTGTCCGCGGCTCCAGCTGTGGACTCCCCCGTCGGGAGAGAAGCACCACATTCTACTGCAGGTGCAGCACATTTCCTGAGCCCCTGCTGTGCCCTGCTCCTGGCGCAGGGTCTCCCTCCCACCCCACAAGGGACACATGCATCAGGCCCAGGACCCCTTGGGACAGCTGGGAGGAGGGGCACAAAACCACCCCTAAGAGTGAGCATGGCAGAGCCCCGTGGGACCTCCCTGGCCGGGTCTCTTGGTCAGCAGCAGGGCCTCGAGGTTGGGAAAGGGAATGTGGTTCTCAGGGTTATCGGAGAATTCATGTTCTCTGGGGGCCCTTGGGGAGGGGACTTGGGGGACTCAGGAGCCAGAGGAACATCTGAGAAGGAGGAGGGTGCTGGGACCGAAGCAGGCAAAGACCACGAGACTGAGGTCCCCAAGGAATGAAGGCACAAAGGAGGCAACTGGTCAAGGCCATCAGAGGAGCAGAGTGGGGTGAGATGGGGACAGAGATAAGGCTGGAACGGCCAGCCTGGACGGGAGAAGCCTCAAAAGCCAGGAGGAGAAGAGAAGCCATCCAAGCAGAGATGAACCTTCGGGAGGCTGGAGAAGAGTGAGAATCCAGGAACGGGTAGGGGGACACCCGAGAGGATCGGGGAGGAGGAAAATGAGGGAGGGAGGGGCCTGGGGGCTTTTGGGGCCCGGGGAGGGCATGTGGGGGTGGCCTTGTTCAAGGACTGGCTGTGAGGAGAGGCCAGGGAAGGGGAGGAAGCAACAGAGCTCACCATGGGCCCCTGCCACGCTGGGCCCCCAGAACAGAGCCAGCAAGACAACAGGGAGCAGGCCCTGGGACACAACCATCTCTCAGGCAGCTCTGGGCAAGCAGGTGGCCGGCACAAGTGGATTCAGGGCTGGGCAGGGGCTGGGGTCCTCACTGGCTTGGAATCTTGGCTTCTTCCCCGGCTGGAGGCCAGGCCAGACCCATGTCCCCGGCTCTTGTGAATCCTCTCTCTGGGACTCTGCCGGCAGAAGAGACATGAGCTGAGAGCTGGCCCCTCCCATCCTATAGCCCAGGGACTTGGCCCATGTTACAGGGTGAACCCAGGAGTGATGCGTGGGTTCCAGCACCCCCTCCCACCTCAGCCTAGCACCCAGGGTGGTCCTTTCCACTTAGCCTCAGTGCCTAGGGCATGACCGTGAGGGAGATGCATTTGATGGCTTCTGCAGAAGTGGATCCCCACCTGGTCGTGCCCCAGGAACTCCCGTGCAACCCCCTCGCAAATGGAAGACCTAGGAGGGAGCCCTCTTCTGAGCTCCCTCAGGGCCCCCGACCTGATCTGCTCAGAGCAATCACAGAGCACGACGTCCACAGTGTCCTCCCCTGGCTGGGATCCCAGTTGTGCTCAACACTGGGCGCGCACACTCTCGGGGCCTGGTGCTGTCCCGCCCTCCCTCCATTTACTGTCATCCCTCCCACACTACCCTCAGAATGCCTGTTCCCTTTTCTCTGCAGAAGGTTGGGGATTTCCTCTTTTCATTTTGTGTAGCCCTGGGAAGTACCCAGGAGAGGAGAGCAGAGGACAGTGGTTCCTTTTCCCCCTGTAAGACTGTCTGAAACTTCAAAATGCACACACACACACACACACACACACAGCAGCAGCAGCAGCTGTCTTACTGGGAAAAGCACAGCTCTGGATGCAGCCACCTTGACCTTCAGCACAGGCTCAGCCCGTCCCATGCCAGCAGCCTGGGTTGACCCACCAATGCACCTGAACCTTGTTCTCTGCACCAGTAATGTGGGTACAAATACATGTGTGTCAATGCGGTGATGTTTATAAAGCAGTTAGTCGGATAAAAGGTCAGGAAAGGGGTTTCTGGGTGGCTCAATTGGTTAAGCATCTGACTTCAGCTCGGGTCATGATCTCAGGGACTTGGGATTGAGCCCGGAGTTGGGCTCAGTGGGGAATCTGTTTCTCCTCCCCCCTCTGCCCCTCCCCTAGCTCGTGTATGGGCTTTCTCTTTCTCTCTCTCAAATAAATAAATAAATAAATAAAATCTAATAACAACAACAAGAAGAGGCTCAGGAAAGAAGAGGAGGTTTGTGTGGAGCTGGGGAAAGAGACTGTCCATTTCAGCTCCTTCAGGTGGGGGCAATGCCACGGGGAGGGATACGAGTCCTTGTGGCTGGCCCAGTTTGCTCTGTCTATCTGGGACTAGCCTAAAAACCCAGAGCTTCTATTTGGGTCTTACCACAAGTAGAAATACTATATATGTAAAAAGAGCGAGTAATCCTAAAATAAGTGAGAGGTTTAATACAATTCCAAACAAAATTTAACATGATGTTTTTTGCAGGAACTCAGAAGAAAAAATATACGTGAGGACAGTTAATGAGTTTTTATAAAAATGAGGAGGTTCTCCCCAATAGCAAAATTTATTTCAAAGATTTGGTGATTAAAGCAGTGTGTTGGACATACACACGATAGATCAATGGACACACGGACCAGGCAATTCCATTCTCCCCAAGAATGTACTACATGATGGAGAATTCGTGAATCAATGTGATGGATGGAATATAAGAAGTGCTAAAATACTTGAATAACATTGTAAAACATATCCACCTAACTCTCTACTCCACACCATCCCCAAATACCAGGTTAATTACAAATTTAAATATAAGAAGTTAAATCATATTAAACTTGCAAACCATGAGGCAGACAGTGTCCTCTCCTGGGCTGTTCCCTTCCTCCTTGGTAAAAGAAATTCTGGTTTCAGCTGGGTTTGGTGCTACATGGAATAAAAGATTACATTTCCTATTCTCTTCTATTGCTAGGTGTGTTCACATCACTAAATAGTGTCCAAGGGGGTGTGAGTGGAAACATTGGTTGCGCCTTCCAGAAAAGGCTTCTTAAAGGGAGTTGGCTCAGGTAGGAGGGTCCACATTTGCCCTCCTGCCTCTCCAGCTTCTTCCCAGCCTACAACTTGGAAGTGATGGCTGGAGCTCCAGAAGCTGTTTGAGACCATATGGTTACCTTGAGGATGGAGCCCTATGCAACAGAGAAAGAGCAAAGCCTGGATCCTTCTTGTCACTGTGGAGCAACCACACCAGCCTGAGAGTGCTTACCTCTGGACATCTTTGAGATTTTTTTTTTTCTTGATGTGAGAAAAAAAATAAACTTCCATACTGTTAAGCCACCACTGTTTGGAGACCAAACAGATGGAAATAGAAGAAAACTTCACAGGGCTTAAAGGAGACAACAGTCCACTGAGTGAAGGGTAAACTCCATTTTTAATAGTGCCATGCTCAGTCACACGCTGGTAAACTTTTGGCTATCCAAGAATAAAAGGATACTGTGAGAAGTTTCCAGAAGGAAACAAACATTATTTTCAATGGGTCAGGTTGGCCAGATTTTCTCACAAGTGACTCTGAACTCTAAGTAGATAATGATGTCTCGAAAATACTGAGGGGCAATATGTTTAAAATCTAGAATCATTGAAAAAGTCAAAGTTACACTGACGCTCGAGGTCAGAAAAACACATTTTGGAAATGTAAAGACAAGGAAAATTTTCAGATCTTTTCTGAGGAACACAATTACTCTAGGATGCATTTCAGGAAAAAAGAAATTGTCCAAAAAGTGTATGATACTGAAATTAGTGGTAAGAAAAGAAGGCAGTAAAACTTAAACTAAGTAAAGAATTGTTACTTATAAAGTGAAAATAAGTAAATTCACAATTACTATATTGAAGTAAAACACAGATGATCTTAATGTGGGAGTTGGCTTTCAGATTAGGGGTGGAAAGCAGAGGAGAACTGAAAGCTTGCTAAGCTAAAGATCGTGTCTTCTTTGGAAAAGCACAATGTATGTTTATTATACCCAAAAGCTGATGGAAAATACGCATTAAATACATGCATTAAAAATATAAGTGTTAAAACCCACTAAGAGTGAGAGGTAAGCATGGCAGCAAAAGACTGATAGGGAAAGGGCAGGAGAAGGAGGGAGAGGGAGAAAAGAGAAGAGAAAAAGCTAGCACCTTTTCACTCAAAACAAACATGCACACCAAAATTCCCAAACTCATGAAGAACTTTAATGGTAGGAACAAAAACTGGAAATGAAAAAAAAAAAAAAAACACACAAATTCATTCCAGATGAAAAGAATGTCATAGAACAATCTGACAAAGACTTTTAAAAGAAGAACACATCATGGCCACATGGGGATTGTTCCAGACACAGATGAAGAGCCATTAAGAAATCTCTTCATGATTAAAAGAAATATAAAAACAGATTAAAAGGGAAAAAAGGAATATCTTATCTCGACAAATGCTTCTCAGTATTCGATAATACAAAAGCCATTCCAGATGAAACAAACGAACAGATGAATCTTGAAAAGAAGGCACTGACGGGAATACTGGCATTTCTGGGCATCTACTACAAATCTGTAGTGACGTCAGAGTCAAAAGGAAAATGTTTGTGTTCTTCTGGTCAAAGGAACAAATAGGGGAAGTCTGCCCATTACTGCCATCTCCAGAGGTCAATCCACCCCCCAATAATTTCTAAATTCGATGCAATCTAAATCAAAACTCCAAAAACGATTTTTAATGTGCGTGACAAACTCATTCTAGATAATAACAAAGCAAACATGAGAGACGGGTTCTATTAGCCAGGAAAATAATGGGAATGTAATCCCAGACAGATGGAATGGAAAACAGTAAGGAAAATAACCAAGCAGGAATTTGGGAGGTAAGAGTGGAATTTTTAATCATGGAGGAAAGGACAGACTACATACTCATAATTATGACATTGAGACAGTTAGCTGATAATTTTTTAAAGTCAGATTATTACTTTACATATTACCCACCCCTCCAAATTCCAGGTGGATTAAAGACCTAAAAGTCAGAACTAAAACGATGAAAGCATTATAAGTATTTCCTTAACCTTAGGGGTTGAAGAAGACACCAAATCCAAAAAGCATAAAGAAAAACAAAGATAAATATGAAAAGAAACTAGCACGCTTTTATATGAAACAAGATATCTTAAACATGGTGAAGAAAAAAAGGCCAAGTGATAATCTGGAAACATATTTAAAACATATGTAAATACACTGTTAAGATACCTAATAAATGAGCCACTACAACAGTAAATATGTAAAAGGCAAAGAACCCATAAGAAAATGGACAGAACATCTCCATTCATTTCAGAAAAGGAGCTCAGATGGCCAAGAATATATATGACAGAGTCATAACTTCACCCATAATCAGGGAAATGAAAAATTCAAGCAAGAATCCCGATAATTTTCATCCACCCATTGGACACCGTTTAAAGACTGATCCTCTAAAGAGAAACTGACTTTTATACAAGACTGTGGGAGTATATGTCAATTCAACTACTTTGAGGACGATCTGACAATATTTATTAAATTTTTAAACACAAACTCTTGCTCAGCAATTTTGCTTCTAGGCATGCGGGCTGCGGAAGAAACACTTTTGCAGGTGTGGAAAAATTAGAAACAACCTAAATGTCTATCAGTACCGGATGGGGTATCCTGTGGTTTACCCCTACTAGTAAATGCCGCCTATTTCTTAGGGTTAAAAAATGAGTTAAATCTATTTGTGTTATTGAGGAACGTTATCCTAAATGATGTATTAGGTGAAAAAATAAGTCATAGAGCGATATGTATATTATAATCCCTTTTATGTACAAAGGAAAACTATATACTTGCAGCGTGCTCAGAAGACGTTTGGACCAGGGGATAGAGAAAGCTGGCACGCGTTCTCTTTGTGTGTTACATGATTCCGGATCATTCTAACTTGATAAAGCAGATCCCCATGTATTCACTTAGTATTAAACATGCTCATTAAACAACTCAATAACTACCCTGTAGTATTGGTGGGTATGGCACAGGAGGAGAACGGGTGAACGAGAAAAAGAGTGATCAAAAGCGAACAGGAAAGGTTCCGTTCCTCTTAAAACGATCAGAAAGTAGGAAAGATGAGAAGTTGAGATCAGAACCTGGTGATGCAAAATTGATACAAGGTCTTTGAAGACTCAAGACTGTACATTTGCAACTTGTCACCGGGACCAGACTGAGGAAGCCCCACAGGCTCGCACCGCCGAGGTGACCAGGGGAACACCTGTGCTCCCATGCATAGGGCAAACGCACGCAGCTGCGTATGCCGGGACGCAGCTACCCCTAGACATCTCCGCGCTCCCACCCCCGCACCCCTCCAGCCAGCCAGCACGCGTGGGTACAGAACACCCACACCCGGGCCTGAACTCCACCAAGCAGCAGAGGCTCAGGGTCCAGTATGCTATCCAAAACACTTTCTCCCGGGGGGGAAAATAGTCCCTCCGCAGGGGACAGGGCCCTTTCTCATCTTCCAAAGTGAGCTTCCAAAGCCACACCAAGCTCTAGTTTGCTCGCTGCGTGACAAAATTCCGGGTTTCCCCCGCCGCCTCCCAGTCTCTTTGCACCCCTGCATTGCCACGGACACCCACACCCCAAGCGCGCACGCGCCCTCGCTCTCCAACTCTCCCTTTCTAGACCAGGATGTCAGAGACTATGGGAGCTCTCACCGTTCCAGAGACCAGGAGGCGAAAACCGGGGGCAGGGAGAGGATGTTCTCACCGCCACCAACATCTTAGCGACACTTTAATGGCAAAGCATAGATGCACGCAGGTGTCTGACTCCGAGGTCTGAGCTCTCCACCTCCCTGACCCCGCCACCCCGCGTCCTCCCTGCTGCCAGGACAGGTGGACCCCGCAGGTGAGCTACCCCTGCCCCCCCATAACCTTACAGCCCTTCCCACACGACCCTCAGGCAAGGTGGCAGCGCGGCCTGTCTCCTCGCCCTCTGGCTCCTGGGCTCCCAGAGCCACCCCTGCCCACTCCACCCCCCCAGGCTCTCTTTGTCCTTGGTTTCCCGGCCCAAACACCCCCTGCTCCGCCCCTGAAAGCCAGAGTGTACCTCTTCGTGGTGGGACAGCAGAGCCTTCTTCTGCCGGAGTGTCCAGGCGATGGGGAGCCGCGGGAGCTTCCTATTTATGCTGACGTTGTCGTTAGGAAACAGAGAAGCAGAAAGAGGAAGCGACACCAGGCCAGGCCGGTTTCTGTGACTCCTCACAAGACTGCCCAGCTTCTGAGAACTGTGGACACCGAGAGTATTGATTTTTTTTTTTCTCCTAGGCCTTACTGAGTTTGCAAATGTTCCTTCCGCCACAAGTACTGCTCCCTGCTCACACCTACACATCTCTGTCAGTCAGCTCCCTGACTAGTTGATTCACGCAGTCCCTGACGCCCCCAGGGGATACAGGGAGAGGTGGGAGGATACCAAATAGCGCCCCCCCCCTCCGCTCCCACCTCTATGACTGACCTCACAGAGTGTGACCTTGTGCAAATCACCGGTGGCGATGTGTCGGGACCCCCACCTGTTCCCCACATGCAAGCAGCTGTCTGTCTGAGATGCTCAGAGCCCAGGGCTTCGGTAGCGCCCCCCACCCCCGCCTTTAGCCCTGCTCCTGTGATTTCCCTGGTGTCCATCTGTCTTGCACCAGCCCCTGCCCCAATACTGTCCCACAGTCCTCAGTGTGGCCAGCTGCCTTTCCCAGCTCGGCCTTGAGAGTGGCTCATGTTTCTCTGCCCAGCACCCAGCACGTGTCCCGGCGCAAAGGAGGCTCTCAGTGACCCCGTGGGGAATAAATGAATGAATGACTCCTGAGCGCAGACGGGCTGAGGCCAAGGCAAAGCGAGTAAGGCATGTCCTTGGGCGGAAAATGTAAAGGGGCACCCAAACACCCACTAATTAAGTATTTTTAATAATTTAATTAAGATAAATTAATAAATTTATATTTTAATATAAATTTTAATTAATTTTTAATTTTAATATAATTATATATGAATTAATAAATTAATATTTAATTAAGATAAATTAATATTTTAATTAAGATTAAAAAGATAAATAGTATTTTAGTGCAATGTTGTAAAAAATAACACAAGAAATCCACAAAATTTTAAATAAAGACACTCAGTGCTCCATGAACTGTATTGGAGTTGGGCAGAAGGAAAAAGCTGTGCCATTTCTCCCAAGCAGAGAGCTTGGTGAGCAAAGAGGAGGACACCTCCCAGGCAGAGGTCGCAGTGACAGGGCAGGGATGAGGGGCGCGGGGCTGGGACTCTGTTCCAAAGCCCCTGGATTCCTGGCCTTCTTCCTGCCGGGAAGGGCTCACTGAGCCAGGATGGCTTGGAAGGTCCCATGGGGGCAGTGGGGAGGGGTGGGAAAAGCCCATGCTGGAGAGCAGAGTGGCACCTGCAGGACCTGGGTCCCTCCTGTGAAATCCCTTCCTGGTGGGGTGAGGTCATGCAGGGGTGTGTCCAGGGCTGGAGAGTTGGGGGTTGAAGTCATGCCCCAGGCCTTTCTTCCCTCAGGCCTGGTCACTGGGCACCGGGAGCCTGGTTGGGAGGAGACAGGCCCTCCTGGGGCCCGGGGTGGGGCAGAGTGCTCCTTCGGGAGCACTGACGCCTAAGGAGGCCCATGGGGACGCCTGGAGATTTTTGCTGCCTGGGAGCTTGAGAAGCTCTGTCTTATCACCTTGAGGGTGGGTCTGACCCCTGCCCCCCCCTTGCCCACCAAGAGAGGGCAGGAGACCCACACTGGTGAGGAATCTGGCTTCTGGTTGACAACCTGTGTGTGCCTTCTAGGCCTGGCCCGGGGCGATCACAAAGCCTTCCTGGGCGGGCCTGTGGGGGAAGCTGCCTTCCCACACCAGACTTGGGACACACTGTGCCTTCTCTGAGGGCGCTGGTCATGTTCTTTTACATATTTGCATCAGAGGCTTCTGGCAGAGGTCTTCTTCTCAAGGGGCATCTGGGGGACGCTTTCCCCGATCTGACTCAGCACCCCATTCTTTCCACTCCAAACCCTTGCCCTCGCCCTCCCCTGAACCCCAGTCTCTGTAAAATGGCCGGAGCCTTCTGTCCTGCCTCCAGGATCCTCTCATCCTGTGCTCCATTCAATGAGGAAGATGGAAAGGGGAGTCGGTGCTTTCCCTGGGCATAGAGCCTGGCTTATTCCATCTACAAGGGATCCAGGCTTACTTACTTCTCTCCCTGGGGCTTATGGCTGTGCTGGCTACTCCCGCACCGGGGCCGAGCTCCTGACAGCAGGTTGTACCCCTTCCTCGGGTGGACCAAGTGCCCCTCAGCCTCTGGGCTCCCTGTGTGACCAGCACGACAGGGGGGTGTGACCAGGACTCAGCAGTGAGGTGGCCTGAATTCAGAACATCAGAATTTGCCAGTGTTCAGCTTTTAAAAAAATACAGTTGTTGATGATATAAAAGCAAGCAAGCAACAACAAGACAAAGAAATAAAACGAGAAAAGCTCGATCATGTTCTTGGGGACAGGGGTGCCTCTGATGCAGGGATGAGATCTCACAGGGGAGGTGGGGTATGTGGTAACTCAGGGGGTTTCGGACGAGAGGGGTGGGCGATACAGGGATCCTGCCTAGTTCCCCGGGAGCCTGCCTTTCTCGGCTCTGTGATTCTTAGACAAGTGACTTGCATGCCGTGGAGGCTAGCTCCTCTCCTCCTGGGACTTGGGAAGTTTTGCTCATACTCTATTGTGTTTGCCTTCAACATATTTTCCCCTCCCCGCACTGGCACTATCTCTCTCTAAAAACGAAAACAACACACACAAAAAACCCAAAAACCTTAGGGGCACCTGGGCAGCTCAGTCGGTTAAATGTCTAGCTTTTGATTTCAGTTCAGGTCATGATCTTGGGGTTGTGAGATCGAGCCCCACATTAGGCTCTGCACTGGGCGAGAAGCCTGCTTGAGATTCTCCCCCTCACCCCACTCCTCCCCCCGCAAATATTTTCAAGTTCTATACAGTAAAGTGAACCAATCCTAAGTGTGCAGTGCAGGACATATTTATAATTCCATGCACTCACGTAACCACCACTAGATCAGATACAGAATGTTCCCCGACACCAGAGGGCCCCTTTGTGCCCCCTGCCCATCACTGCCTCCCAGAGGTCCCTTTTACTCCGATTTCTCTCCCTGTAAATTCGTAGTGTCTATTTCTTCCAGTTGCAAACTATATATGACATAAAATTTGCCATTTACCGCTTCTAAGTGCGCAGTGCAGTGACATCAAGTTCATTCACACTGTTGCGCAACCATCACCAAGGTCTGCACCCAGAACTTGTTCATCATCTCAAACTAGAAGTCTGTCCCCATTCAACAATAACTGCCCATCCCCCTCCTTCCCCCTCTCTGGGGACCATCGTTCTACTTTCCGCCCTTATGAATGTGACCTCCCCACGTTCCTCACATAAGTACCGTCGTACAACATGTGTCCTGTTGTGACTGGCTTGTCGCACTTACAGGAACGGCTTCATGGTTCATTCACATTGTGGCATGAGTCAGAATTTCCTTCTTTTTCAGGCTGAATAGTATTCCACGGTACAGCTAAACCACACTTTGTTTATATGTTTATGTGTTGACGGCCTTTTGGGTTGTTCGTTTATGGTGAACAGCGCTGTTGTGAACATGAGTGTACAAACATTTGTTCGGGTCCCCGCTTTCAATTCTTTTGCGAACAGACCCAGCAGTGGAACTGTTAATCAAATTGTACTTCCCTTTTTCTTTTTTTAGGTAACACTATGAGGAACATCTCAGCATTTCATCCCTAATGAATTTTTGGTGTCACCTTTTTTTTTTCCCTCAAAGATTTTCTTGCTTTATTTACTTGAGAGAGAGAGAGAGAGAGAGCACGTGGGCACGCATAAGGGAGGGGAGGGGCAGAAGGAGAAGCAGACTTCCCGTGCGGAACCTGATGCAGGACTAGATCCCAGGACCCTGAAACCATGACCTGAGCCGAAGGCAGACGCTTAACAGACTGAGCCACCCAGGCACCCTCATATGGTACTTCTGTTTAAATATATAACATTGTTGAATCATTAGATTGGACGCCCAAAAAAAATATAACACTGTATGTTAATTATACTGGGATAAAAAACTTAAGAAATAAAGCAGTTTTCTCAATAAATATGAAACATTCTAAGTGAGGAATCCTGTTGTCAGTTTAATTGGGCGTGGTTTTACTTTCCCAGGGGCATATAAATCAAAAACATGTCTTACATTTGCTGACATCTAGATTCTACGAAACACAGTACAATATTGAGAAGAATATGAAACGAATAATGACCACAGCCTGAGCACTTTCATGATATGACCAGATAGTGGACTCCCTGGGCTTCACTCAACATGATTTCTTCTATTCCTGACAATATCCTTTAAGTAGCCAGGCGGCATCAAGTTCCTATTACAGATGAAGAATTTGAGGCATAGAAAGGGAAATAACTTGTCAAAAGTAACATAGCCAGTCTACTTTAACACTGCATTATTTTTTCATTTTACTTTAATTCCAAAACAATTCTAAAATACAGGAAGTGTTAAGAACAGCACAGAGAACCTCAATACACCCTTTGCCTGAAAACCCCATTCAAGCCTCACTGTCTTTCATAACAAAGGATCCAGCCCAGGACCACATACCACGTGTAGACGTCATGTCTCTCCAGGCTCCTTCAACCTGGGCTGGTTGCCCCTCTTCCCTTGACCTCTGTGAAGTCTGCAGGCCAGGCATTTTGCAGGAGTTCTCCCTGTTTAGGTTGGTCTGGTGTTTCCTCAGGTTATAATTTTTGGTCAGGATAACAAAGCAATGACACTGGCTTCTTCTCAGGACAGGACATCCTGTCAGGTGTGAAGCTCATTCGTGAGCCTCATTTTGGTCACGTGATTAAGACGGCATTGGCCAAGTCAACTTGTTGTAAAGTTAGTCCCCCACTGACCCTTTAAATCAATAAGTATTTTGTGGAGGATACCTTGAGACTGTGTGAGATCCCATCGTCAGCCTCCTTCAACCTGCAGACTTAGTAAGCCATGATGCTCCTTCAGGAAATCAAATACAACCAGAATGGTTGCCCCTTTAGATGGTATCATTCCTCCTTCCACATTTCTTGACATTCCACTAGAAGAAAGAGCTTCACTGTCTTCCCTTGTTTTTTTTTTTTTCACTTGTATAATCCATGCAAACTTATGGATTCCTACTTTGTTGTAGATGGCATGCATCACGATGACTGATTATTTGTTGGGATGATTTAATCCCTCCAGGTTTGGCCAGTAAGTGCTCCTTCGAAGTGACTCCTGTGTCCTTTTGACATATCCGCATCATTCCGGAGGCCTTTCTGAATTCCAGGCACCCTAAGATGCTCTCGTCTTATCTT